GGGGGGGGGGGGGGGGGGGGGGGGGGGGGGGGGGGGGGGGGGGGGGGGGGGGGGGGGGGGGGGGGGGGGGGGGGGGGGTCGGTTACGACGTGTCGACGTATTCGGTGCCAACCTCTGGGGTGTTAAAATGGTAGCGTTGCTACGTTTGTGTTGTGTCTCTCTTGCTAGTGATGTAGTGTTTGTTTTGTGCAAAGTAGAGGGCTACCTCTGGCTGAACACCCACAGGTACCTTCGATGACAACGCTCGCTCATCCTACGAGAGGAAGCAAATCTGTGCTATGTGCATGTGGGGACGTTGTGTGTGCATGTTGTATCCAAGTGGGTGTTGGCTGGAGGGCACACGGAAAAAGGATGATGGCCGAAGTCCATCACTCCTTTGGTGCACGCCTTGCCGTGCTTCCGCCGACCACGAAGATCATGCACAAGTTTGCTGACAGGCTTCCTTCTAGTGCGCCCTGCAACACATACCACCCTTCTTACTTTTGCACGGACTATTCTCGTGCATGGCACAGTGATACGATTAAGGGTAGTGCCTCTCTGTCGGTTGACGGGCATTCTCCCGAAAGGGTTGACGGGCAGCAGACACAATCACACCATCCGTCCATGGCCACACCGTGCCCAATTATTTCTATTTAGCAGAGGGCTAACATGCGGGTTTATCACAAGTACTTTATGATGCGTACTGTAGAATCAACGAAAACAAGTGAGGGTTAGTCATGTTTAGAGCATCGTAACACAGAAAGCTAGAAAGAAGCCCCCCCAGCACAGCATTAGTACGAGTCGAGTGACCCCCTTCTCTCCGTCCCGCTCCACCCTCGCCTTTCCTATAAAAAAAGATCCCCAAAGAACAAGAGAAAGCAAGCGACACGACAACCAACTTTGCGGCACGACTTATCTTGCTTCGCAGCGTCTTTCCACGACGCCGGTGTTTTCTAGAGACACGTCCACTTTTCCCATGCCGAAAAAGCCCGGGTTTTTGTGTCACCCCCCCCCCATTGTATTTTTGCACACAGCTGACGAACCGAGTAATAACGCTTGCGCATCAGATACAAAAATACGGTCTTTCAAGATTGCTGGGCAATCAATTCCTCCGGCGAGTGTCGAGTAGCAAGCACCAGCAGCAAAAACGCCCGAACGGAAAAGTTTTCACGGAGCAGTCGCAACTTACCCGAAAAAAATAGCCGCCGCGGCTTTTAGCTTGGAACAGTTTCGACCACACCCACCCCAAGAACCAAACCGCTATGCTACACACTCAGTTTGACATCAACGCACTAAATACGATACAACCAACTACCAGCTAGACTAGACCTTTTGGGACAACTGAAGCACCCCCCTTTGCCCCTCGTGAGTACGTACGCGCGCGTCTCCCTGACCCAGCCACTGCTGTAGCAGTCAGGTTACGCGTTGCGACTAACGACTAACCGCGTATGTAGAACCCGCCGATAAAACCGATCTAGTGCGATGCACCTATTAGCAGCCAGCCTAGCAGCGGCTCCTCACGCTGAAAGCCTCCTTTGTCTGCTAGCGTGCTTCTACACCATGTTCTCCGTTTGATTCCGACACCTCCCCTTCCCCCAACACATCGAATAAATGAACGGGTCAAGTCGCAAGCAAGATTCAAACAAAACTCTGCTGCTATTGCTGTGTTGTGATCGCCTCCGTACCACGTCATGGACGCTGGGGTGGGCAAGATGGTGGAGAGATGTAGGGATGCGCGTGGGGGGTGGGGGCGGGGGGCGGGAGGACAAACAGCGAGCAGCCAGTTCCGTCTCTTATTCTGCCGTTTACCCGTAAATGGATTTGAGACAACCGGGAGCTGCTGCTGTACGTTTGCCCTGGTGGGGGAAACAAACACGCCTCCCTCCATCTTGTTCGGCATCGTCATGAGCCGCACGTTTCCCAAAACAAATGAACCAAAGACAAGACATGACAATGTCTTCATCTTCGCTTCCCTTCCTCGAGCTCCCATCACCCCTCGCTATGCCGACCGACAGTCTTCCCTCGATCCTCCATGCCAAGACGGCCGATACAGACGGCGGCCGAGGTGCAAACCAAGATAGAACGCACACAGAAACGAAAAAAAAAAGACACGTACGTGCGTAAATAATCCAACAACGTTGCAGGAAAGCCGGCCCGGGACCCCGCCCCCCACCCCCCATCCAAACCCCGCACAAAATTTCTCACTAGGCAGGCTGGCCGGCCGGCCGGCCTTCGCGCCCAAGGCCAAGAGGGAAAAGCAAGCGAAAGCAAGATGGTGGAGAACTATCGGGTCCAAGACCTTGATGAAGCCACTCCACGCGACTGCGCTAAAATATGAGGAGGCGTCAATGCTGCTGGAGGCGTGCGTGCGTGCGTGCGTGCGTGCATTCTTTCGTTCGTTCGCACCAGTTTACCCACGAAAAGTAAACGAACACCTGCCGAATTTACTTCACACACGTTATCCAACACTTCAAGAATGCTAGCGCCATCACAACGACAACATGCAAAAAAGAAAAAAGAACATACACTTCTCGCTCGCAAACGCAATTGCAGCAGAAGCAGCAGCAGCAGCAGCAGGGGGGTCACAGCCGCCTTTCGTGAAAACGTCAACCAAATCAAACCACGGGCGCGCGCCACACACAGCCTTAAAGCGTCTGAACGTGCCCCGGCACAAGCCAGTCAATTCCGTCTCTCGCCCGTCTTTGCCTACCTCGCGACAACCAGCATCTAGTGCTCTTCTTTCTTCCATGCCCTGGTCACTCACGCCTGCCTGCGATATCACACGGCATGATAACCCCCCCTTTCGAATGCCTCCTTTCCGCTTGTTCCTGCGGCCAGCGTCGTCTACCCGTAACAACGATGACGACAACGACAGCATCAAGCCCAAAACCGCACCGAACCCAAACGGTCCAGCTACACTCTCCTTCCTCTCTCTCATCCAACCCAATATCAATACAAGATTAAGATGGCTTCAGTCCAGTCCAGTCCAGTCCAGTCCAGAGTTCACCGCAGCATCATCACCTCTGACTGAAACTTCTCCAATCTGCACCTCTCGGTCGGACCTCCATCACGCCGAATTTTCGGTTTCCTCGACCCCCCCCCCCCCCCCCCCCCCCCCCCCCCCCCCCCCCCCCCCCCCCCCCCCNCCCCCCCCCCCCCCCCCTTCCCCCCCGGTCAAGAGAGTCGGTCAAAGTCAGCGCCTCCCGCCGGGGTTCACGGGCCCCCTAGGGGGGGTGACGGGCCGTGACGTTCCTGGCGCCGCGCCCCCCTGCTGGTTCACCCCCGCGTAATTGAATCGTTGTCTTTTTTCTGCCGGCTTGAGGATCTGCTCCGTTGAGGCCAAAAGGTCGGCCGGTTGGTGCCGCGTCGAGCGGAATTTGTCGGTGGCAACGTTTTGTCGGGGAAGAAGGAGAGAGGGAAGGATACAGACACGATAGTCAGAGGTTTCACTGGGCACCATTCATTTTCGTTCTTCCTTCGTAATGCTGCTGGTGAGCGGTCGTCGCCATACACTGCACAGGAGCAGCACACGTATGCATAGAAGCAGGGGGGGGGAGTTTCTCGTCCACCATAGGACAGGGTAAGGTACGGCACGAGAGACGAGAAAATGTGTGCAGTTAGGGTACAGTACACTACTTGTGCTGCTCCTCATCGGCACCTGCACTCCAGAGAGACGGACGTTCTTACATGCTTGCTGAAAAAAACAACGCCTATCAGCAAAGGTTCACTAGCTCCACACCCACCTCACCACTTTAAGGAAACTCTTCCTGTGGACTATATTGCACGAAGCTCGTTTATTATTTTCTCTTCTCAGCGGGGACAACTGACATCGACTAGATAAGACTACATAGACCATGAGCTTTAGCGTTTTGTCAAACTATTGACTTCACACCTGTTGCTCTACCATATACGTCAATTTTTTTCTCAAACTTATCTCTTCGCGCCAGTCACGGGTTTTATCAAGTGATGTATTGCGCAATGCCTGTGCCACACCGACAGCAAGAAACTTGCCTGGAAAGAGCACATGAGTGTGTCGTCCACGCTCATCATGGCCCCAGCGTTGTCAAACTCCCCGCAGTAGTTAGGCGCCGAGAACAGGGTCACTAGGTGGCGCCGCGCAAAGAACTCGTAACCATCCTCCACTACCTGTTAGCCACATCAACGTCAGTCACATCCTTGTCAGTCAAATCAAGGTCACATCACATGCAGCCACGTTGGACAGCATCGACACGCAAAGGAAGGTACTGTACATCAGGAGACGCCAACCCGCTAATGCAAGGAAGGTCGTGGGCAAGCACATTCGGGAGATAATGAAGCAACCACGAAGTAGGCCCTTCCACGCCGTCTACCGACCTAGAACCGGATTGACGCCGCACTTGCACACAGGACGTTGATAATAGGCACTGGTCGCAAGGTCCAAAACGGTGACACACACACACACACACACACACACACACACACAAATCATGACGTGGAACAGCAAGAGCTTCGAGTCAGATTGCCTTCACCACTACAAATGGCGCAGGGCTAGAGAAGAACTGTCGACAAATGTCTGTCAAAATGATTATGAGCATGATTGTGGTGAAAGCACTCCAAAACGAACTCGACTGCAAGTTAGCAGCCTTGGTAGACGCATGAGCTTCTGATAGCTACCATTCCCGTCGTTCATCAGGATACTAGCTTAGTCTCCCCCATGCTGCCCCAGTTCATGGCTTCTTTGCATACAAGTGTTATGTGTCTTCAACCGAACGGAGACAGACGTCTTTTCATAGGTCAGCCGCATAGCGCGGTCGATGCGACTAATAAAAACACACAAATCTGCTGCGGACAGCTGCAGCAACAAAGTACTAGGTCGGAAAGACACACACACTCATGCGCTATGAGATATGAGACTGACGTCCTTCCATCGGTCAGCCGGCTGTGAAGCGCGGTCGATGTTAGAAATAACACAGCGCCTGTCAAATATTGTTGTTACTGCACGGCATACATACCTGGTGGGCCCTGCAGATGAGATCTAGATCATGTCTCCTGAGGAACTGCACGACGATGTCCTCCCCAAAGGTGAATGAAACACCTCTGTCGTTCTCTCCCCACCCGATTATGTCGCGGTCAGGATCCGACCACAGCAGGTCACACAATAAACCTAACGCGCGCGTGTACAGTACAGGACAGCGGCCGTCATTCCGGGGGGTGCGGAGACGTACTCTCATGTTATGCAAGCCTTAGCGGCTAAACCATTGACCACGCGTCCTCGAGAGGACGGAGCATTGTTCCCACAGGACCGATCACCGATGGACAATCGTCCGGGGGGTACGGGGGGGGGTTGTGTCGAGGTCTGGTTTGTGTCGGTTCAGTTCCCTTAGGCTCTTGTCTGGGTCCCTGTCGGCAGAGCCGAAACTGAACCGCAGGCTACAGCACCGACTCTCTCTCCCCAGGCTACAGTACTACAGTAACGTACCTTCCGATAAGGGAACGAACTCACTCTACCCGTTGCTCAGCGTTTAATCCATGTTAATCCCACCCCCAACACGGCAGACAGCACCACCTAACCCGTCATATTTCTCTCTACACAAGCGGCGAAAACGACAACCGGCCCCCGCTCTGCCCTACACCGTTGCGCAGCAATCAATCGATTACAATCCCGCTCCCCCCCAAAGGGCAAGCAATACCACCCAACCCGCCCGTAAATTCTCCACAAAACTAGCGACCCCCCCCCCCCCCCCCCCCCCCCCCCCCCCCCCCCCCCCCCCCCCCCCCCCNCCCCCCCCCCCCCCCCCTCCTCACCGGTGTCGGGCACGTCCGTCGGGCGCAGCACGCGCTTGATCTGGTCCATGTCGTTGAGCTCCGGGCTCAGGCCGCCGTGCATGCAGAAGATTTTTTCGTCCACGATAGCGGCTACCGGGAGGCAGTTGAAGCAGTCCGTGAACGTTTTCCAGAGCTTGATGTTGTAACGGCGCTTGCCTGGACAAACCAACGTGTCACGTACAGCAGTACGCCACGAGACGCATATTGGGATTGATCGATCATTGTTGTTGTTTCGAAACATCACACAAGAGCGTCTTGAAATACTCAATGTCAGTCACTAGTATTTGTACTGCCGAAAACAACAGTACCTAGGTAATTAATCACCCTCGACAAGCACTAGCGGAGAAGTCTTCCGTGTATGGATTCAGTGATCGGGTCATTGTACACACATATGAGTAACATTCATCAAGGAAGATTGTATCCTTCAGGAATTCCCGTCATGTTGCTATATAGGTCGGATTTACCGACTGCTACCGTTGATTGGTAGGTTGGAGGCTCGCCCCTGTGGTGCTCGCCCCTACCTGCTAACTTCTCTTTCCTCTGTTCACTACTCTACATCTGTCAACGCCCTTAATCTCTTCAAGGTCTTCCGAGGCTCTTGCCGATATCATGATTCCCGCTTCTCTTTCCCTACCTTTCGGCCAACAAATCGCCAGTTCTTCTCCGGTCTACAAACGAGTGTACTATTACAGTGGCTCTGTGAGCCTATGCACACTGCTGTTTGATACAGCCGTGGCCAAATATAACGTATTACATAGCAGGAGGGGGTCCAACCCCCCCCTCCCATGTGACCCCGGTTGGGTCGTCTAGCTGGTAGAAGTGGAGGATAGGGGCCAGAGGGGCAGACGGCAGAGTCCAATGATGGGAGACAAAAAAAAAAATAGCATACTACGCTACTGGGTCGAATGCATACCAACAGCTTATGAGCCAAGGTTTTAACACACCAATACAATCTGTGCGAGACGGTGTTTCGTCCCTCAAAGTTAACGCTTGCACCACATCCAAGCATCAAAGCTTCAGTCCTACGCAACGGTGCTTTGCCCTGTCCTGATTGCAAATGGTACTCCGGAGTACATTTATGTCACAAAGAGTCAACGTTTCCACCACCTGCCTTGGAACGGGGTTTCGTACTGTACATGTAGCCCGGGAGAGCGTAGTCTCGTCCTCTACTTCGTACGATATTTCGAAGCATGGTGTTATGAATGATCAAAATTATGTCTCATGCTTGCAAGACGAAAAGATGCGACAGAAGCCAGCATGCAGACAGCACCTACCAACCCCGCAGGCTTACAGGGACCGACTGCCCGAATCAATTCTGTCTAGGGCGAAATCATAGCTACAAGCTTCGGTCAAGCGGCTCAACATTCTCACTGCACAACGCGGAACAGCAAGTTACCTTCCACAGCAACAAAACACACGCACATGCTCGAACGTTTTAGCAGATGGGGAATGATAGGCCAAGAAAGCGAAAGACTGACTTGTACACGCCTCGTCCATCTCTCTTGGGCTTTTGTCGAGTAAGCAAGCAGCAATTACATGTGGCAACTGTTGTGCGTAACTGTTGAGGTGATCAATTGATAAAACTCACATTCGTCGTAGAAGCCGTAGATCCTGTTGATAGAAGCACACTCGTGGTTGCCGCGGAGGACAAAGAAATTCTCCGGGTACTTAATCTTGTACGCTAGCAGCAGGCAGATGGTCTCCAGGCTTTGCTTGCCCCTGTCAACGTAGTCCCTAAAAAAAAAACGCAAAACGCCGAAAAAAAAAGACAGTCACAGAAAAAAAAATACGGCCGCAAGCGGGATTTATGTACAGTGGGCCACGGTTTAGCGACCCCTAGTTTCACGACGAAATATGGTCGCTATTGAGGGCATGTCACTAAACCGGGACCCTCAAAAGCATCTAGCGGTCGCCAAACCGGGAAAAAGGGCCATTTCGTGGGACTTAAGAGACATTATTGCAGAAATATTCTTGATCGGGTTATGTATGCGTCGGATTGCAGCAGTCACATGAAGGTAGTGGGAGGAAGAAGCACCTTAGGGTGGCCAACCGGGGAGTATTCATTCTAGTCAACCAGCATGCTTGTTGTACCCTCCGAAGTTTGTAGGGACTGTCTCAACAACAAGTGTTCAGAGGGTGCCCTTTGTCTTGTATGTTCGCGCATGCAGAATTTGTTGTACCCTCCGAAGTTTGTAGGGACTGTCTCAACAACAAGTGTACAGAGGGTGCCCTCCTTTGTCTTTTATGTTCGCGCATGCAGAATAATCTGTCCCTACATGTGCATAGATCAACACACAAACACACATAGAAGGTCCGATCTGCGAAATTTGAAAAAAAAAGGCGGAAGAGGGGAAAACGTTATGGCAACGTCCCCCAAAACACAATAATCAAACACCCCTGCATGGCACGGAGAGAGTTCGTGAACGCCCAAGTGGCAAGGAACCTCGCGTTGCTGGTGACTTCATTCTGCTTCTGTCGCGTGTTATCGATCATCTTTAACTCAACATGTCTCTGATGTCCATCTGTCGCGCTGGTTCGCGGAGTGCGCTTCGATCAACAGCATCTTTGCCTTGCCAAGATGGTACGCTGCCTCGCTTAGTCCACGNTAGAAGGTCCGATCTGCGAAATTTGAAAAAAAAAGGCGGAAGAGGGGAAAACGTTATGGCAACGTCCCCCAAAACACAATAATCAAACACCCCTGCATGGCACGGAGAGAGTTCGTGAACGCCCAAGTGGCAAGGAACCTCGCGTTGCTGGTGACTTCATTCTGCTTCTGTCGCGTGTTATCGATCATCTTTAACTCAACATGTCTCTGATGTCCATCTGTCGCGCTGGTTCGCGGAGTGCGCTTCGATCAACAGCATCTTTGCCTTGCCAAGATGGTACGCTGCCTCGCTTAGTCCACGACTCCTCGTACTCTCGAAGCGATCCAAATTGTACGATAACTCCGAGTAGGGCGGCGGCGCCATCACTTCCCCACCCCCCGCACCTTCAACTTCTCCTGCCCCATCTACCTCTAGGATATTTATCTTTTTCGTTTAGTGGATTCGAGACGCGTGGGGAAGCCTGCATGTTCTTAGGTGCACACTCGTGGCAGGTGCGGTGAAATCTCGATGCCACCGAGAACCTCCACTTCCCCACACATGAGGTGCAGGCGTGCACCGCAGCCGCCATGGCAAGCATGCTCCTGGGGTGCCCGCAGTTCCACATCCGGCTGTTTGCACAACTCTCCATCGGCGCACGGCATGTCGCGTGAGTGTATGTGTCCCGCGGTCTTGAGTGTCTGTGTGTGGAGGAACGCGGAGTCTCCGCAAAATTTGAACCGGTGGTCGCTATTGCCCGCTGAAAACAGCCCAATTAAGTCGCTATTGAGGATTCGACCGGTTTAGCGACCATGTGGTCCCTAAACCGGGGTGCAGCGGTGTCACGAGATTTTGGGGTCGCTAAACAGGGGGTCGCTGAACCGGGGCCCCCACTGTATGTCGACATGCAACAGGTCTTGTGCCTAGCGTGACATACTGTACTGGCTACGGCATGCAAGAGTGGTGCTTGTCTTGGGGGAATTGTGTTTCGTTCCGTTCCGTTCCGTTCCGTTCCGTTCCGTTCCGTTCCGTTTCGTTTCGTTTCGTTTCGTTTGGAGAAGTCATGCTTCTTTTCGCTTCTCTCCGCTGCGACAATCACCGACGAACCCTGCTTCCATACTTCTTTACGCCACCAACCTCGCGCCGACAGTCCAGCCAACTAACTATGCCGGAGCACGACGGACAATTGCAAGCTAGAACTAACTCGGCTATCCATCTATCCATCTATCGATCGGGTGTAGAGTTGAGAGCCGTTGTACACACACACGCACAACATAGCGAGTCTCGCCGCCCTCGCAAACTCATTCTGCGAACCCCCCTTCCCCTCGTATGCGCGTTCCTTGCCTTGCCTTACTTGTTCATGAAGGGCGAAACCGAGGTAGCTGAACACAGCTATGCTACGCGACCTGCACCACACTACACCACACCACACCCACAGGTGCCAAACACGACGCGCACAGCATGGATGTTACGAGAGTCAGAAAGGAGGCTTCAGCAGTCAGACACCATCATGCCAGGGTGGAACGGAAACGATCATCTGCTTACCCTAGGAAAAGATAGTTGGCCTCCGGCGGGAAACCCCCGTACTCAAACAGCCGCAGCAGGTCGTAGTACTGGCCATGAATATCACCTTCAACCACAGGTTAACAGTTAACAGCAAGTAGACAACGCAGCAGCACAGACGTTGATAGAATCAGCAGCGGCAGCAGCAGAGGCAGCGGTATCTAGGGTCTGGAAGGAAGAGAAGACCTTCGCGGACAGATAGATGGGGACCCGTCCGGAAGAACAAAATACAGGAGGTTGACGGTGACACACACACCCGAGAGAAGAGAGAGAGAGAGAGAGAGAGAGAGAGAGAGAGAGAGAAAGAGAGACAAGTATCTGTATTGCACCGCTGGGTGTAAGACCCTGTAGTTCAACGCACAATGCAGCCCTACACAACTACAAACCGGTATAACACACGTGTCTACCATCCAAATCTTGCTGCACGTTGTATGATATCATAAACGTTGCATCATATGATCAATGCACAACTAACACCACTTTTGAGATTTGCATGGCATACAGATATGGGCAACGAACAAAAAAAACAGTTTCTTTACGTCGTGATTGATTGATGGCGTCATGGCTCGATATTTCACTATGCCTAGCGCTACAGTACTCCGTCCCCTGGGAATGCTAAAGCCCGCATGATCACGAGCCGATCCTTTGTCGGCCATAAGCTCGTCCACTCTTGCACACAAGAAGGCCAAGCATGGCAAAAGAGCAAACCGCTTCTATCCGGCACGGTATCTACATACGGTATCATGAACGCACTTGGGGGAGCTATCTTGCCGCCATTCGGGCGTCGGTCGAAAACCATTCAGCTTCTATTTAGTTTTCGTAACCTTCAACCTTTCGACTGAGAGTTCTTAAACATTTGCAAACGAAGAAAGAAGATGAAGGACTGCCGGTGGTGTCCATTCCATCATTTCATATTCCGGCACGCTTCCAGTGAACTCAACATGAAACATGCAAGCCACGTCTCCTGTAAAGCAACCAAGGGCGGATTTGCTCCAATACCTAGCATCTGTTAATGCTCCCACATCGACTCTGTTCACACAAAAGCTGCATCTTGCTTTTGGGAATACTAATGTCGCGAAAAGATTCGCGTGCAACTGTGTAGGGCGGGATTGATCACGACTGTTTTCACCGTCTGTCAGTTTCGACCATGGAAGTGATTCTTCACATCAAGCAGCCCTGTTCTCAATCCAGCTGGACATTTATCTACAACGCTCCAAGCTCAAGACACGAAAGGTGGGATAATTTTGACCTTGGAAGTCATTTTTCCGTTGCGGTCGTGCTAATCTTGATGCACCACGTTAAATTGACCTGCATGGCTACCAGGGGAGTCCGCGTCAGTCAACCGGTACTTAGTATTGGAAGATACGAAGAGAGACGGCATGTTCTTTTATTAACTTCAAGACAACAACAAAGGCCACCGACGCTAGGAGAACCGTCTTGCAGCGCAGGAGCCATGGACATAAAAATCTGCCAGGTGTACGGAAAGCAGCACCAGACTAGAGACGGATTCTAGGCCAAGGCACGTATGCACACAGAAAGGCAAGCCCACGAAACGAGGGACGGCGGGGATCGCTGAAGTGTGCTTCGCACGACTCACACAACTACTCATACATAACCTAGCAGCAGTTACAGCAGTCGGACGGCATCATCACAACATGAACAGCGGCTAGCTGGCCGTTGCCATTATGTACGCAAGGCGGTTGTTGGCAGGGAGCAGCTCAACAACTAACGCTTACCACATATCTTGATGGGCGCCTCAAGCTCCAGGAGGATGGGCTGCTGCATGAAAATATCCCTCGCCTTGACGCAAAGCATCTTGATCTCCGTCTCCAGCAGCTGCACCTGCTTCCCTGGCCGTGCCCCTGTCCATTCACGTCAAGTCAAGTCAAGTCCAGCCCAGCCAAAGCGTCAACACGACAGAAACAAACGCACACAGAAACGCCAGACAAGAGTCAAGGATGGAAACGGAAGCAGGAGTCAACCAAAAGCAGCCAAGATTCCAAGCGAAGGCGAATGCATGCCTGCTCCTTGACAAAAATTGGGTTTCTGGGGGGAGGCGGGGGCACAATGGTGGTAATTATACGAGTACACGGAGCCCCTACAGTGGCGTTGTGGTGATTTGTGATATGCGCACATGGGTTGCGTGCGTGCTCTGAGCTACTGAGTGACGGGCTGCGAGTGACAGGCTGGTTGCTCTCGTACCAACTCTCGTGGAGATTCACCCAAGACTCAGCGAGCTTCACGCACGCACGTCTGTCTACACTTTTCGCCACGTTACTAGATTGACCATTCATATCCGCAGGAACCAGTCATCCAAAGTCAAGGGAAAAAGACAAACACATGTCATATCGATTTGCGAGTCGTGGCCATGCGGAGGAAGAGGCAAACGTAATCGCACCACACCCGCAAAGCCAAGACACACGCGAAGCCCAATGGCAGTACCGCAATATCTTGGCCCGCTGAAGTATTGGTCACTTTCTTTCAGTTAATGGTTCTCTCCGCCGCCTTCTTGCGGGCAGTTAGTCAGGTCAATCAATCACTTCGAAATCGCACGGCTAGATGGTGGAGGCGGAGCGTTGGGGGTCCCACCGTCTAACACACCGATGTATTACCCCACACAGCAACCCAGTATTTTGTCTACGGATCGTGGCCCTATCGCCAGAGAGGCAAGACCGCAGGGTTGCTGGTTTAGGAGATGAGACCGAGGGTTGAGAAACGGTGCAACGAAACAAAATAATTCAATACTAGTGAATGTATGGTACATACAACCGCACGCCCGACACCGAGCGACCGGATTACATCAGCCGAAATGGTTTGCACCTTCATGAATAGGCCGATCCAACACGGACAGGGCAGTAGAACACGTCTGTCTCCAACGGCACAAGGAAAAAAGGGATACGATAGAAGGGTCCCCCCGTGGTAAAGCAGGTTCGATCTCATTGCCATCTGATCTCAGCCCCTTTGCGTTCGCGGGCAAGGGTGGGTGGAGGGCTTCTTTCGGTGCCCCGGTAGGAACCCAGTGCATGCCAACACCCTACTGAGACATGGGAGCTTGACGAGGTGGCAGCAGCTGCAGCGGAGGGTTTTTGCAAGCCTGAGGCTGCCTCCAAGCATGGCCGCGGCTTCGTGGCGGTGGTGACACTTGGCTTCGTGGGTTGAGACCAGCGGCATACCGCTGAGGGTTCGTCTTGAATAAGGGTGACGCAGGGCGTTTAACGTGGACAGGGTTGTGAAGGTCTCGTCTCTGATCCGAAACTTAACGCCACATTTTTGTTTCATGTTTAAGGGGAAGCCTGCGCTGCCATTCATGCATTCTGTTGTTCTCGAACAACCCCGGACTGAAATTGTCAGGTAAAGGCGGCCTTGTCCTTCTATAGGCGAGCAACAGCGGGCGGGTCCCACGCGACGCTCTAGCCAAGATCCAAGGACTCCGAGGCAAACGCAGTTTCATCGGAGACAAACAGACAGACAGACAGGCCATCCGAAGTAAACGCACACGGGTTGGTCAGCAAGTTAAGTGCGCGAAGAGGCATGCTGCTGTCTTCAGGCTGATGGCTTGCAAAACACTCCTCCGACGACAGCCCGGACAAGCCTTCAGAACCAACAACCCGAGAAAGGGCGAGGGAGGACTTGTAGTGGTACAATGGCAGCCAGGATCGGTAGAAACAACAGCAGCAGCAGGAGCAGCAGGAGCAACGGCATGTGTGTCGGCGCCAGAGGCAAAAAGACGACAAGCCCCGCCTCGCCTGAAAGAACACGACGGCGCATCATGGCGGTTGACCATCCGCAAACGCAATGTCGACCCCTTGATCCGATGCGATGGACAGTCGCCATAGAAGCAATCTTGACGCAAACAGATCGTACGGCCTTGGCACAGAAGCAGCAGTTGTTGCAGACAGCAGCAGTTTGAGCGATACTCTCCAACCGCTCACATCCTCCCACTTCCACAAAATACAGCAGTCGGCGAAGGAGGACATTCTGGCGCGCACCTACAACTGCTAACTCGAAACGCCAAAAGATACATACAATGCCACAGCTGGCCGGCATTTTAGGAGAGTGGGGCTGTGCGTGTCCAGCCTCGAGGTGGAAGACACCACCAAGATTCCGCGCCTCTCCCGGCGTGGTAACGCACGCACACGTCAAACGCGTCACGCCTGCGTAACGATAGACTGTTGTTGGCTCGAAACACGTAAGCTGGTTGCTAGGCGTTAGGTCACCGCGTGCATGTATTTTGGTCGTGACGCGGAAAAGCGAGCTACTGAAACTGCCACGTTCAAACGGTCGCCGGGTGGCTGCTCAACTGGTTGCTTACTATAGTGACACCGAACACTTGGAACACATTATCTATTGCTTCGACTAACATACAGTACCCGACACAGGGAGGTTGTATCCTCTGAATCTCCACGCCTCCAGTCCACTCTATGCATACGAGCACCCTTCCGTGATTTATCAGCAGTACTCGTGAGGAACAACCGTTGGGGTTGCATTTCGCGTACCATGCTGCGGGGGACAAAGTACACTTGTTGCTGTCTGTATCCCTTCCCCAGTACAAATGAAAGCGTGAGCGAAAAATAATTATCTTGACCTGCTGAAAATGAGCCCCAATTGTGGAGGGGAAAGGAGGGCGCTACATACACGGCTGCCATGTCCATTCAAGTATCCCAAAGCTACCACAGCTGTTTTAGGACCCAGACGGTGTGAGTGCTGCTGTGTCCGTGCGGAAAAAAATACAAACTTGGTCGGGGAGTAGGGGGGGTCTGCTGCGTTCGTGTCAGGCGAGAGCAACCTGACATCGTGTCGTCATTCCTGGGCTCGAGGTTGCTATCCTACCACTGCCGCGGTGTCTTTTACACACAGAGGAAGAGAAAACAAAAGGCTATTCCATTGATTCCGTGCGTGGCTAGCTGCCGACGACGGGGGGGGGTGATCCGTTAAAAAGAACACCCAATGTTTCATCATTTGGGAAAACGGGCTGACAAAGCAGAGGGTATGTAAATAAATAGACGTACGAAGGCAACCGACTAAACACGTCGGCATCTACCACTTCAGTACGCCCACGTACAGCAGTTATTGCTTAATCCACCGAGACTTGCAAGACGAACATAAGCAGGTAGCATGTAAACCGTCTTCCGGCATTTGAGGAAGTTCTACCATGCCGGTACATGTCGTGTCGTGACTGGCAGAATTTCTCCCGGTCTCGTACAACAGCGTCCGTCCCAATATTGCCGATAAAATTTTCATCAAAAAGAAAAAAACGTTTAATGAGTGCGTAGACCAGAAAAAGGAAGACGTTGCTTTCAATTTGATCTTGACGACAGTAAACACGCTACCATGGACATTGTACACACACGATCTAGAAGCATGTCGTGCTTTCATTTCAGACGTTTCTATGGGTGCCAGAAGGAATTGTTGTGGTGCTCGTCCCGTCCCCGGGACAAATGACAAGAAAAAGATGAAATTATGGGAGTGCTTCTGTTTGTTGCGGACACCCGAACAGCGCTACTCCTATTGCCCTGACATGCGTGTGATGGCAGGGGCAAAACGGCATCAGGATAAGTGTATTTAAGAAATCATTGACGTGCATGTCTCAGATAGGAGACGAGCGAGAGAGAAGACGGGGGCACCCACACACACGCCGTTTCCTTTTCCATGAAAACGAACCACGTTCGTTCTTTTTCCATCACAAACTAACCCCCCACGTGTTTCGGGCAAAATACACGGCGTGTATGCCTACTGATGTACGCCTTTCTCTCCTTCACGACCGAACAAGGCTTGCCAAGCTTGTCCCCAACGCCTGACCAAAGACCTGCCAGTCTCGAGAAGGCTCAGGGTGCCCTCCATCCACACCGCCCGCGAGGTTTCTCAGACCCGACCAAACTTTCTTCAAATTTGCTTTTGCGATTATGACACACGCTTTTTATATCATCCCTTTCGAATGCTTGGACCAGAGACCGAGCGGGTCGTTACAATTAATTATGTGTTGTCCGGTGAACGAGATTGACGGAAGGAGCGGCCATCAAGAGCTCTCTCCCGCGTACCTAGCACACGCGTCTCTTCTGGCTAACATGGCTTTTCGGCACCAACCTACAAACTTGCCGAGCTGCATGGCTGCTTGCTGCCCGGCGGATGTGGTGGTGTTCCGTCTCGTTTTCGAGTGATGTGTGGTTGTTTTTTCCAGCAGGCGAAACAAACGACAACCAAGACGAGAAAGGATGACAGAGAGAGATGGAGACAAAGAAACGTAGAGCACCGGAGTAAAGCCAGAAGGGAGCGTGGGTGGGCGTGCCACGCTGGCACAGCCGGGAAACCGCCCGCACGCACCGTCGCCAGCTTACCTCGTGATGGCATCCTTTGTCACCAGCCATCACGCGGCCGGGGGGGGGAAGAGGTCTGATATTCTTGGTCTCCCGAAAAATGAGCAGCACCTGCTGGCTGGTCCAGCCATCACCATCACCACGAGCCCAAAGGAAAGCACGGAGAGGCAAGCACCACCAACGCACCACACCACACCCCAGCGGCCAACTCACCTCGCACAGAAAGCAACCTCTCGATCACATCGTCCACAGAATCCCGGTCCCCGTTTGCGCTCGGTGCGCCCTCCCCTATGGGCCCGGCGCCTTCTCCCCCCTGTGCGCCAGACATTTGTGCTGCTAGCGCCTCGTTAAAAGAAGCCGCAGCTTTGGGCTAAGACCTCCTACCCTGCCTTGCCCCGCTCTCCCGGTGGTCCCTGCCGTCCGATCTCTGCCCAGTGCCGGGCCTGCAGCGTGTGTCTCTGTGTTTGGTGGCGATTTTTGAAATGTTCCCTGCTGCTTGCGTCCTCTCTTTTCTCTCTTTGCCCCTCCCCTATTTCTCTTTCAGAGAGCGCTCTGTCCTCCGAGAGAAACACGCCGAATATCGGAATCCTGTGCCCTGCTTGGCTCTCCCGTCCTCGGGACCGCGCGGCGAGACTTTGCAAGGCGTACCCTCTTCTCCCTGGTAAACTCCTCGCTTCGCTTCGTCGCTGCTTGCTTGCGCGATGTAGTATAGCGTGTGCCTTGCTGAACGGTCTTACCCTCACAACGCCCCCACACCTCTGGGATAAAAAATAAATAGGGAGTCCTATAAAAAAGGAACAGGACGTACGCGAGCAACCTTGGAACGCGGAATTTACGATGACCTTCTCCGTTGTATCACAGTCATTTACATCAGTATACACGGGTGGCGACTCGGTGTCTCAATCTGAAGAGCTTCATGTACATTACTGCTGTGTCCGGGCGCTTGTACTAGGCTCCTGTGGTTTATATTTGTGTTTTCGCAACATTTCTGTCGATCGATGTTCTCTTGCATTGTATGTAGCAAGTCAAGATAGTAAGAGAACAACAAGTAGTTTTAGTTTTTGTCTACAGCATTTATTTAGTCTACTACTGCTGCTGTGGTTACTGCTGTAGGCTACGTACTGCTGTAGTTGTAGGCCAGGGACGACGTCGGCATGGCGGCACATTTCGACCACTGTACGTCAAACTGCCCAGCAGCTGTTTCGTGTGTGACGTGCACTGCTGTGTATGTGTGTTTTGTCGTGGACTCGGTGACGTTCTTCGCCAAGTCCACAGCTAATTTTTTACTTTATTTAATAATATGCGGACTACGAGCGTACGCTCGACGTCGGTCCTTTCCTCGCTGGTGGAATACTTGCTTGTATTTTGTCATGTCGACGGAGACAGTCTGCAGAAAATAGCTATACAGTTGGCGCCCGCAGTTAAGAAACGCTTATTTCAGGTCCAGCCTCGAATTCTCAATATGGGCTATAAACTCAGCGTACATACGTCGTTCAGTTTCTTATTCCAAGTTTCTTATTTTTTCGTGCAGCCAAGTAAGTCCTGCTGAATTATAATTTTAGGAGAAACGAATATACACACAGAAAGACTACCCGTTCGAGGTATAACTACACTCGAAGGGGATGTGTTGAAGTCTTTACAGTGAGTAGAGGAAAACCAGCTGGGTACTTGACTTATTTCGAGTTTGTTTAAGCCTATACACTGATGATTTATATCAGTGATACCAGTTGGTGCTTGGCACAAAAACATCTGCGTAGGTGGTACATTTATATGTGGCCTGCACAGGGAACACGGCGCAATATGTCATGTTGACAGTAGTAGTTGCTGGTTTAATTTAGAAAAATACATATATTAGGAAAAACAAATATGCACACAGAAAGACTACCCGTTGAACACATAAAAGCTCCCTGTTCGAGCGAAAATCATAGTCGTTCGAGGGGGGCTTTTTACAGCAGTATTTAGGAAAAACAAGTATACGTGCAGAAAGGCTATACAGCAGTATGAATTTCTTGAATCGGCAACTTCTTATTTCTCTGCTTGCATACTACACAACGTTCCAAATATACAAATGATTTGCACTGCTTTCCTCGACCCCCGTGCTCAACCCCGATTCTCACTACCAACGGCTGCACGTAAGGCCACCAGAAGCGAAATGTATCCAGCGGCAACGTCTCGCTATCACTCCAACGTTCTGTACCCCCTTCATGAGTGAGGGCTGAAACTAAACAAAGAGACTAGTCTAATGCGTAAACACCGCATGATGCCTCACCCGCACGCTAACGTGCCAACAACGAAAACTACCCCGTCATTATGTTGCAAGCTCCGTGAGGCGAACATTGGGGGTTGTCACCCTTTTGCGCCTCTCGCTCCCTTCCTTTGGGTCTACCTCTACGAGAACCCACGCCCCAATTGCGGCGTCTTCATCCGTGCTGCACGACTCCATCCAACGGCATCTTCATGCTACGCGTGCTTTCGTCACAGTGCAGGATGACGCGGTAGTCGTACTCTTGCCGCGAAGCGGGGTGAGGTCTGCGACTAATTACCCGAACCAACCCAACCCGAGTTTCACGAGAACTAANCACGACTCCATCCAACGGCATCTTCATGCTACGCGTGCTTTCGTCACAGTGCAGGATGACGCGGTAGTCGTACTCTTGCCGCGAAGCGGGGTGAGGTCTGCGACTAATTACCCGAACCAACCCAACCCGAGTTTCACGAGAACTAATCATAATGCACTATGGGAGGGGGGGGGTCGGGGGAGAGGGGGAAAGAGCGAGAGAGAAGAGCTGTCTGTGTGTGGGGTTTGTTTCTTATTATTTTATTTGCCCTCTGACAATTGCACATGAATGTAGACATACATAAAAAGTCGATCGTAAAGACCGTCATGCCAAGCCAAATTAACTCGATGCCCAATAGCTAGGAATGTTTGCCTGGAAGTCAACAAAACTTTGGTCGAAACACTACATACAGCTGAACTCTAGGCACGAACCTTAGATGGAGAAAAACGAACAAAACCCCAACCTCATCCACCCGAAATCAAACAAAACTCGGCCCCGTCTTCCCTGGTACCCCTGACACCGTATTGAACAGAAATCCGCTTTCCACCGAAGTGGTTAGGTTAAAGCTGTCGCACGCATATTTCGGCGCGCAAAAGTCTGTGCGNAAAAAAAACATCATCCACCCGAAATCAAACAAAACTCGGCCCCGTCTTCCCTGGTACCCCTGACACCGTATCGAACAGAAATCCGCTTTCCACCGAAGTGGTTAGGTTAAAGCTGTCGCACGCATATTTCGGCGCGCAAAAGTCTGTGCGGCATTGCTGATCGATATTGCCACCGGTCACACCAAGAGAGAAACATCCGCCGTCTTGCTCTTTCTGAGGCAACCCCCATTCAAGCCCATGTTCCCCCAGACCCCCGACACTGCCACCCCCTGTTCCTACTTCCTCGCCACCTGCAACCACAAGGGCCAGGCCCTCCCCCCTTAGCACTCCAGACACCGTATCGAACAGAAATCCGCTTTCCACCGAAGTGCTTAGGTTAAAGCTGTCGCACCCATATTTCGGCGCACANTATTGCCACCGGTCACACCAAGAGAGAAACATCCGCCGTCTTGCTCTTTCTGAGGCAACCCCCATTCAAGCCCATGTTCCCCCAGACCCCCGACACTGCCACCCCCTGTTCCTACTTCCTCGCCACCTGCAACCACAAGGGCCAGGCCCTCCCCCCTTAGCACTCCAGACACCGTATCGAACAGAAATCCGCTTTCCACCGAAGTGCTTAGGTTAAAGCTGTCGCACGCATATATATTTCGGCGCGCAAAAGTCTGTGCGGCATTGCTGATCGATATTGCCACCGGTCACACCGAGAAGAGAGAAACAAACATGTTTCTTATTCGACACACTCCCCCGTAAACCCTCGTTTCTTATGTAGTAGTAGGGCAGCGGTCGCCGCTGTGTTTCTTATTGAGACATTTATTTTTGTGTGACCCAGATTGAGCTATCTATGTTTCTCATTAACCCTATGTTCTTGTTTTTCGTGAAAAAGTGAGCCTCAATTTCTTCACAAAATATTTCTCAACTGCGGGCGCCAACTGTACACACCAAATCATGTTGCATAGACTAGTTGTAATCAACTAATAACTAATTGGACCACAGTAAGTAGTTCTCGCGCTATTTCATTAGTAATTCTGTAGTACTGCGGTTGTATCTAGTGTAGTCTAGTCCAGAGGACTAAAAATAGAAAGAGGTCATCGTACAAGACATCACATACATACATACATACTTCATACATACATGGTACATACATGCACGCACGCAGCCTGTCACACGACTTCGAATCACCATAATCAGCACCCCCCCCACCGAAGCGAGACCTAGTGATCGATGGTGAGCATATTTTTTTGCATCCATCCATCCTTTTACGTGTGTGTGTGTGTGTGTGTGTTTTTTTATTATTAGCATCGACCGCGCTAACCGGCTGACCAATGAAAAGACGTCAGTCTTAGTGCGGTTGAAAACACAAAACACTTCTATCTACCATGAACTGGGACCCCGTGAGGGGGCAGCATGGGGTAGGCTAAGCTATATCCTTCGGATAAAAAACAGAAACAGCAGCAACAGAAGAAAACTGCACCCGTCTACCAAGGCTATTACCTAGTACTCGAGTTCGTTTAGGCGTACGTTCACCAGTAGTATCCTCCTTGTTTTCGCTACCATCATTCTGATCCTCACGACAAGAAGAATCTCTGGGCAGTTCTTCCCTAGCCCTACGTTTCTTGTTGTTGTGGGGAAGGTCATCTGGCTCAAACCCGTTGCTCTCTTCCGCTCCTCCATGTTTTCCTGCTCCATCGTCGTGTTCATCCTCCTTTCTTCCCTTTCCCTTTCCTTCGTCTTCGTCACTCCCAAAATAATTACCCTCACTACTATCGTTGTCACAGAGATCCCAACCGATTGGCCCTGGAAGTTGGTCGATCAGTTGCCCATGACGTTTGAACACATCGCGAGTTCGCATCGACAGAAAACGAGCTAGCTCGAAGGTAAACCGTGTGTGTGTGTGTGTGTGTGTGTGTGCGAATAACATTGAATACTACTGTGTGTATTTTTCGTCCTATTTATTATGGCGACATTCCCCCCATTTTTCGTGGTGAGACGTACGTACGTGTAGTATAAGCTGGGCCAGGCGAAAAGCTCACTTTCGTTCGTTCGAGTCTCATTCTGNCTCCATGTTTTCCTGCTCCATCGTCGTGTTCATCCTCCTTTCTTCCCTTTCCCTTTCCTTCGTCTTCGTCACTCCCAAAAGAATTACNTGGCTCAAACCCGTTGCTCTCTTCCGCTCCTCCATGTTTTCCTGCTCCATCGTCGTGTTCATCCTCCTTTCTTCCCTTTCCCTTTCCTTCGTCTTCGTCACTCCCAAAATAATTACCCTCACTACTATCGTTGTCACAGAGATCCCAACCGATTGGCCCTGGAAGTTGGTCGATCAGTTGCCCATGACGTTTGAACACATCGCGAGTTCGCATCGACAGAAAACGAGCTAGCTCGAAGGTAAACCGTGTGTGTGTGTGTGTGTGTGTGTGTGCGAATAACATTGAATACTACTGTGTGTATTTTTCGTCCTATTTATTATGGCGACATTCCCCCCATTTTTCGTGGTGAGACGTACGTACGTGTAGTATAAGCTGGGCCAGGCGAAAAGCTCACTTTCGTTCGTTCGAGTCTCATTCTGTCGTTTCCACGAATGAATTTGGGCTTGCAATTTTTTGGCTGCTCTCATATGAGACAGTATGGGAAGCGCAGGTGCCAGAATTGTTCGAATCTGAGTTGATTAAGGTAGTACTAAACCATCAGTTGGCGGCGCAGGGGGGGATACTTCCGGTAATACTGAAATCAACATAAAATAATAAAAAAAGTTACACCGAATAATAAGCTGAAACAAACTTGGTGTGCACTTACCTGGGAGCAGTGCGAGAAAAATGATGATTTTGTTACAAGGCTCAAATCATCTTCTACCAAGAGATATGGCCTCGTCGTACAGAATCCGACACAACACACAAGATAGCCAAGGAAATGTGAGGTTATCGCAATTACATCACGACTTTTACGAGTTGGAATCTGAAGTTTTGACATGTGGTCGGTATTAGTACATGCAAGACCTTGATTGACTGGAAGCACCCTTTTTATTTTTAGCCCCCCTATCTAACAAAAAAAGGATCACCATTTGTCCTATTATAATAGGGCTCTACCTCGTGAAAAAGAAAAGGTGCTTTTAGTCATGGTCTTGGTTGTACTAATGAATACCGACCACATGTATGTCAAAATTGCAGGTTCCAATTCGTAGAAATCGTAGTGTAACTCGTTATCAACCATTTGCATGCAACTTGGCTGGCCCAGCTTGTACTACACTTTTCAGCGTATGTATGTAGAGTAAGTACTACACTTACTTTTCGGTGTAGTTTTTCGTACAATCACAACCATCCAGGGTCACACAGACAGGAGGAGGAGGGGGTAAACACCAGGGCTATATTCTTCTGTTTAATTCTTCGAGTCTATTTCTTTTCATGCCCCCCACCTTCCTCCTGCGGTGCGTGCTGAATTTATATTTTTATCGCGAGAAGGGTCCAGCCGTCCCTTTCCCTCGTCAACAACGGTGCTAACAACGTCGAAGTTTGGTACTACTCACGAGAGAGAGCTTTTTCTAGCCATATTTCGCTTTCTTCACCCGCAAATTTCGTAATTTTTTCACCCCATCCATCCATCAAGGGGATTCGAACTCACGACCTCTGCGACTAACTAAATAGCGGTTTTCGAGGATACCACTAGACGACCACCGGGCGGGCGACCGGTACAATAATACTGCTACCTATATCAAGTACCCCACGTACGTAAGTGAGCCTCCCTATCTATGCATCCCACCCTCCACCGCTCGCTGTGGTCTCGTTAGAGAGAGGTGGTCTTCTATCCCCTGAGCGCATCATCCCCTATTATTTATTTAGAACAAATCAATACTTCCTCTGTATCATAAGTTAGGGTACCTAAATTTGTACGGGCCCTTAACCGTGTCCGATCTGTTTTCCGATTTTTTTGTTGAAATCTTCGGAGTTTTTTAAGCAAGAAACATTTATTTTTATTTTTATGCATGCGCCACCCCGCGTGCATGAGCGGCCGAGAAAAAACCAGTCGGCCTGAAAAAGGCCGTATTTTGCATGTATCCTGCCCCCTCCGACCAGGCGGGGGGGGCGGGGCAATGACAAAAACAAGGTAAAAATACCAAGAATTATCCCTGACCCTAGACCTAGCCCCCCCTCTACTCAACGATCCATGATGCGTCCCCCGTACTAAAAACAGCATTATAGTGGCCCCACACTGAAAACAAGACACTTGGGGTGACCACACTAAAAACAAGACACTTGCGGGGCAAAGCAAGCAACAGTAGGGCCCTCATCCAACCCCCCCCTCTACTCAACGATCCATGTCGCGCCCCCTATACTAAAAGCAGTATAGTAGTGAACCACACTAAAACCAAGACACTTGGGGGGCACACTAAAATCAAGACACTTGCGGGACAAAAAGAAGGGTTGGTTGGGGAAAAAATAGAAAAAGTCGACAATTCCTACCGCCATGGCATAGCGCCTACCAACCGATAATTCGGTGCCCCTTTTGCGAGGTGGTGTGCTGGGGGGCGATTCCATCGCTAGAGTGAGTAGTGGGCCGGTAGGGTACTAATATTATTAGATGGTTTTGAGAATTTTGTCGAGAATTCTCAAAAAAAATCTCAAAATATTTTCCCAAAAATATTCCCAAAACAGGCCAAAATAGGGTATATTTTGACCAATATTAGGTACATAAATAGATGTTCGTTTTTTTTTTTCTTTTTTTCTATCGCTTCGTCTTTGTTATATCTTTCGTACAAACCCGACTATGCTACCATCATTAACACGGTTGCACCGAGACAATCTATTGCATTTAGGTACCCTAACTTATGATACAGAGGAAGTATATATTTTGTGTCTTGTTGCATGATGATGACGACGTACATAATGAATGGATGCTGTTTAGACTGGACTACAATACGTACGCGTGCGGGCCGCTCCTCGTCGGACAAAATGAAAAAAATAAAACTATCATCATCGCCGTCCCACGGACGGGTGGGTGGTTTGTTTGGTGAACTGGGTCGCCCACCACAAAAAAAAAGCAAAAATATAGACCAGGAAACGTTTCATCCATCCATCCATGTGAAAATCAAACGGCATGACATCATACGCCAACGAAAAACAAACGAGCATTCTTGGTAATAAATTGAAAGACGTCGTTGTCAGTCAACTTCCACGTGGAACAACAAACACGAACGAGAAGAGAGATTAAAAACACTTCTTGAAGCTGCTTGCTTGTTCCTCATGTAACTTATCGCTTACAACAAGTTCTAGTCCTCCTTCGAAAGGACCAACAAGACCGCGTCATCATCGTTTTGTGCAATGTGCTTGTACTACTACTGTAGCATATATCTATAATAGTCTATATTGTTGAAAGCAAGCCGACGAATATATCATCGTCGGCGTTGCTAGTCCCAAGCTGGCATTTTTTTTTGTGCTCATTGCTTCAGGCTTGAAAAGGGAAGCGGGGGGGAGGCCTCGCTGCGTCGTGGAAGTGAAGTTAAGCTACTTAACAGACGATGACTCTCTATGCGCCAGGAAGCACAAGCGAAGGAGGCTGCCCCTGCCTGTGTCTGTGTCGACGTGAGTAGGGGTGGGTTTGAGGTATCCACAGATTAACGACAGGATGTTTATAGATCAATGCCAGGATAATTCAACCAAAAATGAACGTCAGCACGAAGAGACAAGATCATTAGAAGAACAGAGAAATAATCCGCTCATCGGTTCCTCGTTCCTGGGCAGCAAACGCTGGATGCCAAAGCAACAAGAACGTGTCGTGGGGCCATGTCGACCACACAGAGAACGTCCAGCTCTGTGCCGAGGTCGGGAATTTCAAAACAGCATCTCGAAGGAAGCGTGGTCAGCAAGCAAGGCTTGGTGCAGGACAGCGAAAGAAGAAGACGACTCCATAGAAAGGGGACCCCGGCCGACAAATCAACCAATCTGGTTGATCTGATGTAACGCAGATCCCTCTTGTCGACGGAGAAACTGGTTATCGCCCCACAGGAAGCGATAGCTGCTCAAACGACTGTGAGAGTCTTGAAATCGTCTCAGCTACACAGAACTGCTGGTAGTTCTCGGAGGTTCGCAGTGTGGCCTGAGATCGGCCTTTCAGACTCGGTTCGGGCAAGGGGTGGGTTATCCTTATGAAAATTACACAAAGAAAAAAAGGCTCTTGATCGACTGAGACACAAGCTCTACCGAGCCTGGGAATTTTCAAAATATACACACTAATCGAGGTTCATTGATTAATTAAGGTCGCATGCCTCTTTCGGCGTAACTTAGAGGCTACGCTGTACCCACGTTTCCATTCTCTCCGCCACACGGCTGGCTGTTGAGAGACATCAGCCGCGTAGCCTTCAAACACGGGCAGCAATGACAGTTTCATCCCATGGGGAAACGAAATCAACTGCCGCCATCATCTGGGCAGTGCACGCGAACTTTGCGCCGGGCATCAATAGAAGAGCACTCTGGTCAACGCACTTGAGGACGTGGAAACGTAGCCGGCTCAAAGGAAAGGGAAGCATGCAAGAAACCGCACACGCGCCACAGTTCCCAGTCCCCATCACATACATGATGACGGGATAGACAAAACCAGTGCGCCTGCAAAAGAAGCTGAAGTTGTGTCGAATCCCGCCTGGTGTTCGCCGGCACCTACCTCGTCCATTCATGTTCTACAGCAGCTCGCACTGAATGGTAGACCAAACACGAGTATCGCGATCTAAAGTTCTACAGTAAGCACGACTGACTGGCAATCGCTTCGACGGAAACCGTCCGGTAGCATGGTAGGCTAGGGACCAGAAGCACCAGCCTGCTGGCGCCTGTCCCCGCCACCGTTCAATTTACTAACCCTTTGCCCTTTCTTGTTTCCGGCGCTTTCGCCGCAGAGTAAGCACCTAAAAACAAAACTTAGCGCGGTTGCTGCCCCGGTACAGCCTTCAATAGGCTAACACGACGCAGCAATGTTTATGTACAGCGACTGACAAGCCAAATACCGAAGGTATTGTACAAAAATCTGCTGGTTGTTTTCTTACTTTTGCGTGTGTGAATGAAGACATGCCCCGCAGAGGGGGGCGCACGAAAGACAAGGGAGATGACCTCTATCACCACTCAATCAAAACCAGACCAACAACGCTTGCTGGAGGGCATCTAATACAACATCTCTCGAAGCGTCGCCATGCTGAGAGGCCAGCAACCAAGTATAAAAAACGCCAAAAGGTTCTGGGGAGAAGCACAGCAGTTTACTTGTGTGTCCGGATCGGTCTCGCGGTCGCAGCATACCGAAGACAAGAATAGAAGAGGAGACTTTTTCTGTTCTTCTCATGGAAACCCTCTCCTTCTCTCCTCCCTCCCTGCTGACTACAGGCTCCGCGCGCCAGCGCCAACAACATCATCTTCACGACAACAGCAACCAGTACCGCAAATGATGGGAAACAAACAAACAAACAATATGCACGTATCTGCCGGGTGGGGGGAGGGGGGGGTGGCGGCGGCAGGCTAAGCACAAAAACATCTCCCGGCCGCGGCCGCCACTCTTCGATTGAAAGCGTCATCTATAATAGACGACATGAAACCTCTCTGTACAAGTGTATGGGGGTGTGTGCCCCCCGACCTCCCACCCAATCCTATACCGTTATGCCCCCCCCCCCCCCCCCCCCCCCCCCCCCCCCCCCCCCCCCCCCCCCCCCCCCCCCCCCCCCCCCCNGCCTCCACAACCGAACCCATGCGAAAACTTACGACAACAACAACACAACGTTGCGCCACAGCTGTTGCCGCGATTAAAAAAGGTGGAACTGAGACCGGCAATGCGGTGCAAGTTAACGGGCCACACCATGATGCGGTGCAACTCGTCGTCCGGCTACACCGTTACACACACGGCATTTAACGCGCACGCCCTAATGACTACCGCAAAAACTGCGATGTGCACACCTTCTGAAAACACAGCAGCAGGAGCAGCAAGCAGCTCACGACCCAAGAGCCTCCGGCGTCAACAAAAAATATAACTGACTCAACCTACGGCTCCATCGAGAGCTGTACGCACCCACCCACCGACCATTGATCGATCCAACACCGACCGGCTATGGCGGGGACACAATGAGGGATAGGGCTACATGGCTATGGCGCGCCTTCTTCGGCCCGCCGGTTGGAACCGCTGCTGCTGCTGCTGCCGCCGCTGCCGCCGCCAACACCGCCGCCGCTGCTTCCTCCCCCGTTGCTGTTGCTGCTGCTACTGCCGGCGGGATTTGGCGCCTTCTCGTGTGGCTTGGCTAGGCTGAGGAGCTCCGTGATCATCGACGTTGGGTCTTTCGGGTTACACCACACCGAGTTGACCCCCTCGCTCAGTGCTATGTTCACCTGTTGTTTCCGTTTTTGTCATTGTTGTTGTTGTTAGCGCATGCTTAAGTTTTTCCAGTTTACAGTCGCGGCGACGTGGTGAAAAAATGGGACAAACTTCAAGGACAATAATAACTGACGTACACACAAAGATAGACCGCCTGCTTCCTGAAACCACTGCGACTACCAACACTGCTACTACGATGAATTAAGGATGAAAAGTGCGGTTTCTGCCCCTTCAGCTTCGCCACGGTTGAAGGTTTTGTAAAATTCCGACCACCAGAAGCCCCGGCACCTCCCTTATCTTGGTCCGAAAACAAGGTACACATACCGACGGTGGGGTGTATGGATGAACGGGGCATATCACGATGGCTACCATCGAGGCATCGAGACCGAGGTAAGTCCATCTTTAATGCTAGAAAGCCATGGATGGGAGGATGGGGTTTTTGCACCCGAGCGGAGGGTGTGGTGTGTCCAGCAGGCGGGCAACTTCTGTTACCTAAATCTTGTTCATACGGAAGGAAATGCCGCTGCAACACCGTCGGTGTAGGACAACAACAAACATTTACTTATTCAGAGAGAGTACTTGGCAGCCTTGCTACATCTACCCACCAAAAACTAGAAAACTGAAACGCGGCTTCAAATCGGTGTTTTTTAGCCATTAACAGTAGCTTTAGCCGCAACACGGGGAGCACCACACCCCCGAGAAACGCAACGCCGCGGTCGAACCTACCAACAAGTCATTGCTTCCGTGCGGGAAAAGGACTTTTCTAGACTCTTTTACGTTTGCGCCACGTCTCATCGCGCGATTAACTTGGTCGACCCAAGCGTAGCTTCTCGGCTGATCCATCTCTGGTACCTTTTGGATGCGTCTGATCTTGCCTTTGATTTGACTTGAAGCAGCTATTGTTCTGAGGTGACCCGAGCGAGTTTTGAGTGGTGATGCATTCGCATACTTCTTCACCGATTCGATGCATCATCTCCCGCCCTTCCGAGAATATACGGTATACGTACAACCACAAGACAGGCTGACAACCTCTTCAAGGCAGTGCACCCATCCAAACAATGGGTCGACGTTGTTGCTTCTGTTTTGAAACATGTACTTGTATATATGAACTAGGCTAGGCTGGGAGTGGTTAGTCTTACGTTGTTGACGTCGTCGTCGACAAGGAGCGTGCTCGCGCGTGTGATGCTGGCCGCGTGGGTCTGCGTAAGTTCTTCCGCCGCCGAAGCCATGTGAGACTGACAGAGGCGGACAGCGGCGGACACAGGCACGCACACACGTGTTTAGGCGACGACCGGCATTCATCAGTACCGGCTGTGGCGTGTTTTTATCACCAAGCTCTTGTCAAACGACAACAAAAAGGGGCCGACGTCCACGAGTAGGTCGAGGCAAGTCGCGATTTGGTGGCTCTCTCTTGGTCCCGCCGGAACGGCAACCAAATGAGATAAATGCGACATGACATGGCTTGGCTTGACTTGATGCCCGGGGCAAGAGTCGCAGGGCTGAACGGACACCACGGGAAACGCAAAACACGACCAAATGGCGCCAGAAAAACGCTCAAAAACAGGGCGCGAGCAGAGAAATACTTCGTATGGAATATGCATGCATCCATTCCTCCCGCAGCAAGCAGATACCATGGAACATTACCATACAGGGACCAACGCTTCCCGGCGAGAGCCAGGGGCGGTGGCGGACATTCCACACCGCAACAACGTTCAGAGGAAGGTGTTTTTTTCTATTAGGAAAAATAAATACTGACACAGAAATACTACCCCTTCGAGATAAAACCACAGTCGAACGGGATGTGTTGGAGTCTTTTCAACGAGTGGAGGAAAACCGGCTGGGTACAATGTTTGACGGCACAACGTCTAGTTACAGCCAAGGTTGGAGGTACTATGCAAACATCTCTCATTATCTTCTCTCGCGCGGGATTGTTGCGTCATCTGCCTGCCGCACCTGTTTCCCATCGGTGGCACCGCGCCCTTCGTACTCCCAGCTGAAGTCGTCACCGCGAATGGGAATCTAAAACAGACAGGCGTCGATCGCATCGTTAAACGGCGGGTGGTGTACGAAGAGCTATCAGGTCGCATGACTCGTGCAGGGAGTAACTCCAAGCACACGGACTGCACTATGTGATCTTCCGACAGACGCCGGTATCGGTGGCTGTTCGGTCTTTCGACTTCAAGCAGGCGGGTCATATCGCCACCCACGCTACAGAACAGCAACAACGTGTTCCAAAAGCGTTGTACTAAAACCACGACGACTATCGTAAAGCACTCTCGTTTACCTGCACCAGTAGCAAAAAGCAAAAGACGCCCACAAAAGACGAAACGCTTGCTTCTACCGTACGCAGAACCTCACGGAGAGCCTCAGCGCATGGTAGAAGACTTGGTAAAATACTTGAACCGTATTCTTGCATGTCGCTACTATGCTGACCCCCCTTTACAAAGGCTCAATCGAAAACATCGCCTGGGGTCGAATAGCCAGTCCAAAGCACAACCGATGCATATTAATAGAAGCTAAGCTGTCAACACAGGAGGTGTACCGTAATAGCTACCCAGGTGTCGACATCTAGCTTCCGACAACGAGTAGAACCTCCCCGCCCCGTATCACCTGGCTTGCCACGTGCGGGAACGCAACCTTCAGCACGCTGCTGATCATGGAAACCTGAGGAGAAAAAGTCACCACACCGACATGTATCCCTGTCCAAAGGGGGGGCGGGGGGGGGGGGGGGGGGGGGAGCTGATCCTGCAGCCACTCCGTCTGGGGGGGCGNGGGGGGGGGGGGGGGGGGGGGGGGGGGGGGGGGGGGGGGGGGGGGGGGGGGGGGGGCGTGAAGATATGAGGACATCACACGTATATTTTCTTCCGAGCGGGTCTCGTCACATGAGCAAAAGCCAAACTGGACCATGTATAGATAGACTTTTGCGTGCCTCTAACATCATGTACTACTGTACAGCCATGGCACCCACGAGTACATGCCACTACAATGTACCCATTAATTGAGGGTGCACGCGTGTCGTGTATCGCGGAAGTACTTGCTACACGGTGCACATGGGCCGCCTTGGAGTTAGCTGAGCAGGACCCCACCAGTTATCTTCTCCAACTCAACCCAAAGGTATGCGGCACTAAGGTCGCACTCAAACGAAAGAACGACGGCCCAAAGGATATTGTATACTGCTGCCATTTTCTACTGTAGGCGATGTCGCTCGCGTCGTCGCCGGGTGGGCGTCTCTCTCGCGCGCTACCTTGCGGATGTTTCGCGCCGCATGCGTATCGAGCAAGTCGGTAGCCGGTAACCGCTGCAGCTATGAAACAATTCGCAGCATCCGGGGAAAGAAGCGACAAAGACGGACTGCCGCCTGACTTAATCCCAGGTCCAGTGCGCCTGATGTGTGGCGAGACTGGGGCATCACAAAATATGTACGCGCTCGCGACATGAACCACGCTTTGGGCGTGGGAACAAGACACATGCATAGGCCATGCACGATGCTCTCCTTGACGCCGCAACGCGTTGCGAACCTTCCCGCACGGATCAAGCGCTGCTCGCGGCGTGGATCAAAGATCATTCCTCTCGTGAATCTCGTAGATAGCTTTCCTTTCCGAATACTGAAATCATCATGACACCACCTAAACCTTCCGGCATTCCCGTGGTACATCCCGCAAAAGATCAAGGTATGCGAATTTGTACCCGTATTTTTCTACCAGACAACACCATGACTGCACCAAGACATTTCTTCCACTTCCGTCGTCACCTTTGGCAACCGCGATAGGTATCAGGGCCTGGAAAAACGGCCTGATCCTTTGGGTGAGCTGTTCCGGAGTGCCGGGCCACCTCCCTGACGTGTGTATGTTCAAGATAGTGAGGTCGAAGTCAAGCGCCAGGAAGTTTACCTGCGGCGATCGATCAACGCAAAGCAGCACAATCAGCGACCAAACTACTACAATAGTAGAACTACGATGTGAAGCAGACAGTAGGACTTCGACCAAACTACTACAACGGTAGGACTACGATGTGAAGCAGACAGCAGTAAAAACGACATATAGATAATTAGCTTGAAGAACGAAAGCAAAAGCTGCAGCTAAAACGGTGACGGCGAAGCGGCCCAGCCGGGCACCTAGGACAGCACTACGCACGGATCAAGACAACAAGGCAACATAGACGAGAGGGGGAGGGGGTCGTTCAACGAGCTTTTGCCTTCCTTCGTTCCTCTAGTGACTGACTGACTGACTACCTGTAGAGCAATCACGAGTCGTGCATTAGAAAAAAAAACGGCTGCGCTCTCTACCACATGTACCATTTTGATTGGCGAAACCCTTTCTCGAGCTGTGCGGACTCGACTCAACGACAGATTTCGGCATCAGCGTTGGCATCTGCATCAGCGGGTGCGGTATGGCGCCATGCTACGGGCGTTTGGTGCACTAAATATTACTGCTGCTGCTCGATCGGGATACTTGAGGAGCCACGGACGGGCGACGAGGTCTTGGCACACACGCACCACGGGTGAGGGTCATAATCGGTCGTTGCGACCTTCAACAGCAACACGCACACACAAGCATCACAAGCATCAGAAGCATCACAAAAAAAAAACTCAAGCGGGACGGAAGCGGGGAAGAAGCGGTGAAGAGGGGACGTTCAACCCAGCCAGCCACGTAAGTCTCTCACGGGAAAACGAGTACCTCAGATTCCCGACTACCTCACAAACCCGAGTTTGGCAGTTGAGACCAGGCCGGTGCCATTCGAAACGCGATCTAAGGTCCGCAAACCGCATCACGACGGAACATCCGAAACGACACCAATTGTAGTAAGCCTACGATGACATAAGCCAAGAATGGGAAGAGAACTTTACACGCCAGCTAGCTCTGTTGAGGTGGGGTCCTCATCCAGAGTGTTTAGTTTCGGGATGGCCGGTCAGAGTTGACTTCCCCAGCAGGCGGGCCCAATGGAACCTTTTCAACACCATTGGCGATAACATGAACAGTTCGGTGGAAAAACATCGTATTGGGGGGGGTACAGCCTGACGCCACTACCTTACTACTTCCCCTCACACGGCAGAACAGCGCTTGAGAAAGAACCATCATATCAAGCCCGGGTGTGAATGAACGAACACCATGACGTATCACTGAGGTGGAAAAATAACACTTTCTTTCTTACGATTTCGTACCCACAGGAAAGCTTCTCCCTCCCTTTTCCACGTGTTCTCCAGTGATGGCGCACCTCCACTACCGCCCGACAACACCAGTTCTCACACACGCTGCGGCAAAATCGACAAATAAAAAATGAAAAAGCCACGGCAACAAGAAGAACACGGCCTTCTCTCCGCACCCTCTCACCCACCTTACAGTCCTCCTTCAAAATGGTGCAAATCTTGCGGCAACACGCATCCAAGTCCCTCTCCCACTCCTTAGCCCCCCCAGTCACCCCACTCGCCCCTCTCCCCCCGCTCCGCCCGTCCACCACCCTGCCTACCCCCGCACCCCCCCCACGCCCATGCGGCCCGGTAGGGACAACGATCCGCCGCGGCTGCTGCTGCTGCTGCTGCTGGCCAGTCCCTTTCCCCCCAGCCCTCCCCCCCTTGTCTCGCGCGCCACGCTCTCCTGCTGTCTCCGTTGTGGATGTCATGGGCCGTGGTTGACCCCGTGCCTCACTGCCCCGACTGCTGCTGCTGCTGCTGCTGCCGCTGCTGCTGATCCTGCGGAGCAATCCCCGCGCGCCGCTCGGCGAGATGCTACGGGTTCCCTCGACCTCCTCGTTGTCGTGGCGTGTACTGCCGCTGTCGCACGTGACAGCAACCGCGGGGCTGGCGTCTACCACGGCCCCAGCAGTCCCGTCTTCGAGAGGGCGTTTGCCACCAAAATTGCTCTCGCAAACTTCGCGCGCGTAACGGCGGGCGCGTGCTCTTCTTCCCTCGAAAGCGAAGAGCCGGAGAGGAGAAATACTTGCCCTATTTCTTTTGTCGCCGGCGTGACCCCAGACTAGACCCTGCTTTTTAATTTACCAACGCGCGTTTTTGCGTCCCACCGTGCCAAGCACCGCCGGACTCGTGACTTGCCGCTCTGGAACCTGATGTCTCCACTTCTGCTTCCGAGAACACCAAGAGCACCGCCGGTTGGCAGGTACGGTGGTACGGTACAGAAAGTCAGTTTCGACACAAAATTAATGATATGTTTACTAGACTAGACTACAGCAGTACTGTAGCGCTCCATTCTTTGGCGTGCTCCTGGAGTAGTTGTGGCCAAGAAGTCGGGTATGGCATATATTGAGCACGGTGGCAGCCCTTTTTTGTGGAGGAAAATATCTCCTGGTGGGTGTCTGCTGCAACAGCAAATTATTGTCATGCGATCAATAGCGTCGCGCTTCCGCGAAAAGTGGAGGAGATAAAAAAAACAGGTTTGAGTGCTAATTATTGTCTTCAGCCTTCGCCTTGGGAGGTGAGCGAGGAAGGCGTCAGAACTCGGCCTTATTTATTTCCCTGTGACGTTGGTCGGGTTCAAAGAGAAGGTGATGTCATATCGGCTATTGAATTCTAGCGGGGCGGGGAGGATGAACGAAAAAAAAAAAAGCGAGTGTGTGTTGTCCTGTGCAGTACCATTCCCGTGAAGGCGCGCTACAAGCTGTTGTTAGCTATAATAATAGCGGCAAGGCGGGTTATGGAAGGGTATGGTCTTCAAGCCCGGGCTTGGCGCGCGTCCCCCGGAGTAAAACATTAGTTGCCAACACCAAACAATTGGGTACCAGCAGATTCATTGAGGCCTACGCAAATAATTGTCAGCAGTGGTGTGTTTGGCCTTTTATAAATTAATTACGGTATTCAACAACGACGGTGCTACCCGGCTGACTAACGACAATACGTCGGTCTTGTGCATACAGCTAGTGGGATAAAAAACACGGTTTCTAGCCGAAGGGCAAAGGGTAATACCGATAGGGGGGGCGAGGGAGTTGGACGATAGTGTTATATAATAATGTGTCCTGCTACTACCGTCCGTACAACGGAGGGCACTCAAAGATACAACCAAGCAGCATTGCATCTGCATGATCTGTTTCTTCCATGCTAGTATAGCATGGCTGCTCTGTACTGGTGTGCCCTCTGTCCCACTTCTCTTTTGCCCTACGGCAGAACGGGGGGTGTTGCTATAATAGCGCCGCCACGTTCATCCCTCGTCTTGTATCACATACATACGCATATCACTACTGCTGTTTACTCTCAAGGCTTGCAGGGTCATAAGCCCTTTGCACCATCCTCTCTGACGACTGACGCTGATTCAAATCTTCACGTCTGTCCTCTTGGACGGGGATATCGATACCCTCAACCCTTTCGTCGGAAATGGCTGCTGTTGTTTTGCACAGCTTTAATAAATCATGTTTCACACTCCCCCCCAATGATACTTGCTGCCGCATCAGTTGTTGAAGTACAAATACATACATGTATTTTGTGTTGGCACTTCCGTCCCCCGCCCTGTCTGCATTGGAATACAACCGTCGCGTGCGTCTTAATTAGGTCACCACTTCGTGGCATACACTTCATCAGGATGCAGTTTCACATCCCCACACGACGGCTGCACATACACAAAAACAGTAGTACACGCTGGCAGTTAGTTGTAGCATCATGCAACAAACGCCATTAATGCCCGGGCACCTCTGTCCCCTGAACCCTCTAATTCTAATTTAGCGCCACCGACAGCAGCTTTAACATGTGCAAGTCGGGGGGGCACAACCAACAGAACCAATAAGTCGTCGAACGATCAGGGAGAAGGAAGGAGTGTCGGCACTTGACCTTGTCGTCCCCGAGTGTTTTTCAGCTTTTTTTTCGTTTTTTTCTGTTCTTCCAGTTTGTAGATGCGTGAGGTCCAAATATCTGTAATAACGTTATGACCACAGAGCAGCAGCAGCAGTAGGAGCGACACGAATCCAATGCGCCCGGGTGTATGTTATATATTTGACGAGTTACACTGCTGGTTTGTACCTACCGATCCACTTAGATTAGAGACTGGGGGGGGAACGATTGTACATAGGTGGGTAGCCTTGACACAGCCCCCCTCGGACCGTCAGTTAGATACCGCTGAGAGCGGAGATCGACCATATAGCGTCGCTCAAACGGTGCTGCAGATGGGTGTATGCTTTCGTGACGCAAGCGAGGCAGCAGCCCGCCCAACTCCCATCAACGCTTACATTGTACAGCAGAACGAAAAGAACGCCCCAGACAAGTCCGCAGAAATGGAAAGGTCTCCGGAACAAACCACTGGACGGAGCGGGTACAGTACGCATAGATTACCCTGGGTACTCTGTACCCACGAACAGGTAGAGACAGACAGACCAAGAAGAAGCATTTTGCAGTGCATCTCCGGCCTTGGGAGGCGGGTTAGAACGGCAGTGGTGCGCAGGGTCGATCGCGAACATACGAAGTCAATCGGAAACGCGGTACAACCAACGTACATGTTGTTGCTGTGGGGACGCTGCTGCTGCTCTGATACTGTTAATCTACAGTACGCTCTGTTGGGAAGGAAGGCACTCCTATTGTTGTCTGAGACACTGCGATATGACACGTCAAGGACTGCTGTGCCCCAAGGGGAGGGGCGTTGGTCTGCAAACCCGTTACTCTGTAGTTAAAATTAAAAATGTGCCGCCACGAGGCTGCACGATTACGCTACTCGTCTTACATCGAGCGCGGGCGAGCGCCGGCATTGTCTTCATTCAATTCGCCCTTCTAGATGCCGAAGACGGAGCACTTAACAGCACAGCCAGTACACCAAAATCACTCCCCAGCACCAGGCGTATACTATCTCCATCCAAAAGATTCAACGAATATGCAGTTAACACAGATCCAGCAAGCAGCAGAAGCTCGCCCGTGTTGCACACGCGGGCGGTATTTCTAGACCCCCTCCCGCGAAACGTACCGCACCGCTCTCACGGTTGGCTGTGATACACGTGCGGTAGCATACGGCGTCATGTCGCTCAAAACGCTGTCAGCGGTGTATTTCACCTGTGCTGCAGAAAATTCCAGCAGGTATCTATGCACTGCCGCTGCTACTGGTCTGCTCAAGAACGACTGACGACCTACCTTTGCCCGCCCGTGATGGCAGCGTGGGCAAGACCTCCAACACCTCGAGACAAAGCGTCCAACAGAGTGCCACACTCGGAGAAACAGCGGCTGAGGCAGCAGAAAAACGGTGACACCTCGGGGTGAAGCACAGATAAAAAGCGGTGAAATACGGAGGAGGCCGGAGGACGGGGTTTCGGAATCGGCATTGTTGGCATAGAACGGACCGTTACAAATCCATATCGAAAAATTTCAATTTTTATTCCCAAAACCAATCGTCCGATCGGGGTAGCCGACCAACGACGAAAACTCTAAGAAAAATGCGGCGGGCGGCGATGATCTAGAAACAAACGAACAGCATACGAGAAACAAAAGCGGCGCGTGCGCCTGTGTAGGACAGACCAAATCGAGTTCCGGTGTCCCTGCTCATAACCTGCTAGACAAATAATACTTGTATTGTACACATGGGGCTAAAAAAATCCTCAGCCATACGAACAGGTGCTCAGTTCTGACGTGACATAAGAACAAGAACCCGTATCGAGGTGTCTAAACTCGAGGTCAAGATAAGAACGTGCGGGGTCCATTACAGATCTTCGTTGCAAGACAAGAACTTCGGCGGGTAGCGTCACCCCCTCCCCCCTCTCTCCCAGTATTTTTTTCCACAACAATAGGGTGGGTACCAAAAAATTAGCGAATCAGGAGGGTGTGCGTATAGGATATCGCGGTGCCCCCTTCGCTTTTGCGAACAGTTTCCACGAGTTTTTCAATGAGCAGCAAGAAATGGTTCCCAACCTCTGAAAATTTGTACCAACATCCGTTAGGTCACGAGGATCACGAAAATATACTTATTTCCCATTTGGATGTCGTGGTGATGACTTATTGATGAATTAGTGGCCAAAATTGGGTGAAAATCGCGTCTGCGGGCCCCCCGAGCAAGTTGCAAACGCCTCCGAATCGAATGAAAATTTCAGGTTAGTTAGGGTAATAATGATGTTGTGTTGTACATCAAGAATCCGTGGTCAGAATTTCGATCAGGATCGATGCGGCCGTGATACAGCTACGCACTGATATATATGCGCGACAGCAGGGATTACCTGGAATTACTAGGAATTACACTGAATGAAATATCCCCCCTCCCGCAACACTTTGTACATGTTGATTCAATCTCTCCTGACTTCGAATTAGGGTAATTTTGGGGTTGTTGCTGTTGTTGTTGTTGTCTTCACATTAATTAAACCGCATGTCAATTGCTAAATGCAAAAAAAGACTCTTAGCCCGTGGTCACGAAAGTGCTAGAGCCATCTGAGGATCTAAAGAACATACGCAAACATACAACGAGAAACAGGTAGAGTGTCCAAGAGCCCGAAGAGGTACACCTAAAAATCCCTGCAGCACCGTATGCGTGCCCAAAAACTGAACTGCACGTCCGTCCCACCGTTCGACTACAGTAGCATCACCCCATCCCTGTCCCACTCTACGCCAAAACGGAAGATTGCCGACTACAGCATACTGCTG